TTTTGGGACTTCAGGGCCTCCGTACAAACCTCTGGGGTCTGCAGCGTGTTGTGGTTCTAAGTGTGCAAAGCTGAATTTGTAACAGCAGGATTGTTGCCAGCGGACTGATTTGAGTGTTACACTGTAGTCTGTAAGAAATGCTGAAAACATGTTAATATTCAGAGTGGTGACGTCATTAAAGATACCTGTAAACAAGGTGGAATACTTCAACCAGCCATTCTGTAGAGCGGAACAGAATGAAGCTGTATGTTTAAATAGCTCGCACGAAGCACGTGTATATGTGTGTTTTTACCTTTTTAAATGAAGGTATATTTAATATAAAGAACGTTTAATTAAAAGCCCGGAGTGTCTCATAAGGACGCTCGAGGGCACCACGTGTGTCACAGCTTGACGCATTGAGGTTGGCATATTGTCTTAGTATTTATTTTTTGAGTCACGATACAATTTAAAGTATCGGTCACGGGTATGAAGTGAGATCTGCTGCAGAGTGTAAAGCTCTGCTGACCTCGTGTCCCTGATTGGACATTTTACGGTTTTTAGAAATCTAAATCTTCCGGTCAAAACTACCACACGTCTTATTGAAAATATGAAAAATTAATTCACTGAATTTTTTAACATTTTCATGCAAAATTTTCAAGATTCTTAAATGAGGAAGTAACTGTTATGGACTCTCTCTCTCACACACACACACACACACACACACACACACACACACACACACAGCAGCTGCTTGTCTCTTTCTGTAGATATGAGTCTCAGGACATTTGTTGTTGTTGCTGCAGCTCATCACACACACACACACACACACACACACACACACACACACACACACACACACACACACACACACACACTCCTGTGTGTCCGTTAATAACTCTCCGCTGACTTCATTTACAAAAAGCTTCTTCGCCTTCTGAGCTGTAAAGAAGCTCGGGGAGATGCTGCAGCCTCTGCGAGCTTTCTTTTTCAGCATGAGAAATATGATGCTGCACGCGATCCGTGCGGCCCAGCGCGCGCCGTTATTAAAATATATCGCTCATATCAGTCATGCGGGTTATCATGGTCGATAGCGGTTATTGTAAGGAGCGTGTGCACGCGCTTTGTCATCAGAACAGAACACCTGAATCAGTCATTACGTCATTACGCATCGCGTTGTTTATGTGCGCATCAATACTTCACGAGCTCAGTGTTCGGAGTATTATGATGGAGAATAAAAAGTGAACATCCGGGGAGTTATTAGTTTGAAGCAGATCAATATTTGCAACATGCAGAATATTTAATGAGAATCTTAATTTATCAGCTGACATCTGACCCTCATCTTAATTTATACACATCATGAAGTATTATCTAAAACAGTCTGTGCACAATAATTACATTCAGTTCATGTTTACTTTCAACATGAACTTTTTATTATTTGAATTTAAACCAAAACATCTCGTTGTGTTTCCTGCTTTGTCTTAATTGTTTGTTCTTTAGGATCTTCATTAGCCCGGGCACGTGACCGCGGCTCCTCTTCCTCGGGTCTGTAACATCATCAAACAAATATCTTTAAAATATGAATCACATCACAGTTCACCTTTACCCCCTGCTCACGCGCTCACCGCCCACAGAAACACCTGAATTCAACATTAAACTAAATGTTGTTTGAAGATGGAGATAAATCTGGAGTCCAGAACACTTTAAATAATTCTAGATGTTATTAAAAGTTTGTGTTTAAAACATGAGGCTCTGACACGGAGTGAAAACAATCTGTGTTATATTGGTCACGTGAATCATAAAATTAAATTTAATAATTTATAAATAAGGAGCCTCTTAATCATGGGCTGACATTTAAAACCGTGAATATGTTTCCATAGATTCAGTTTATTGGAGCCTGGTTTAATTCACGCTTTCTCCACCAATCAAAACAAAGTTAAAAATACTTATTAACAACACGGTCTGCGTTCGTGACCACACACACACACACACACACATATATATATAATTATAAAGCTTTAAAGATGTTTTCCTAAATGGAATCTTCAAAACACTAAAATGTTTAAAATAAAAAGCATGAACAGCTCACGGAGATAATTTAGACTTTTCTTTGGGTTCCTACACAAATATAATAAAAATAAAAATAATTCTGCTCATGTTTAATATTTAATAGATCGTTTTTAGTGGCACGTGAGGAGTCAGAGTTTTATGGTTCGGTTTCTATCTTTTGTAATTATTCGATTAATCACACAAATAATTTGAGACATTAAGAATTGTCACAACATCACCCCTGAACCATTGTATGACTCTAATATTTAAGGCGTGAAGGGATTTCTGCTTTCTTTCAGGAGATGGAATATTTAAAGAACCTTTACGCACGAGTTTATTTAAAGTTTACAGCGACGACATGTTTAAAAGAATGGACTCTGAAATGATCCAAACATTTAAACTGTATAATGTACTGTATTGTGAATTCTCCTTACAGATAGCACACATTACTCCGTGTTCATGACCAAATATTCCTCCTCGTGAGTGTGCGTAATTGTCTAAATTTGATCCTTCTAAACCCGGATCCAGGTTTTCTACTTCAGGAAAACTAAACTATATCCTGGATGTTCACAGCTCAGTGTTTCACAGCTTCCCTGTTTCTGCTGCCTCTTTTATTTCAACCTTTTACATAAATAATAAGAGAACAATTTAAATCATCTTCTAAATGATGAGTTCACTTGCTTAGATGAGTTACTCTCTTGCTGCTTCACGGTGCGTTCACTGACCCTTTAAGGGAATCCGATCTGAATGTTGAGCTCGAAGAGGAACAGAGAATCTATAAATGTACTTTATTGTTCTGTAAACACGTTTATTGGAAACTTTATCCGCACTCTGTCACAGCTTCAGTCAAACAGAAAATCACTGAGTTTTATACTTTTATATCGTCACGTTTTAGTTTCACGTCAGCTGAGATTGGTGTAAATGTCCACACTGCTTTATTAAGTGAGTGAGGACTGGCTGTCCTGTAGTCCTCCTAAAGGGCCCCGCGTGACCCCACAGAGGCCTCGCTCCTCCTCGTCCTGTGTAAGTTAAGGAACAACACATTTAATGCAGATAATTTGAACTTTAACAGAAACGCTCTGAAAGTCTGTTGTGAATCATGCACTCTCTCTGTTGGGTATTTTCTCTGGATGTGTGTTTGTGGGGTTATTTGTCTGCGTCACTGCTATCACTGCGCTGATGCAATGTTACAAAATGAAGATGGTTTGCAGATAATGTCTTTAAGCTTTTTCTGCATCAGTGTCTCCAATTAAGGCTGTCTGGATGGCAGGCCGGCCTGGAGGGCGGAGGCCCTGTGAAAAATTAAAATTCCCCCAGCTTGCGGTCTGTGGGGAGCGCTGTGACTGCAAAACATCCCGAGCATCTGACACTGCAAAACAAAGTCCTTCTCTCTACTCTCAACATGTCTCTCACACTGCACGAGCACGTTCAGGACAAAGATAAAACCCAAAAACCTTTACATGAGGGACAGAGAGGCTGCACACGTTTCGAACACACAACACTCTATGTTATTATTACCAGAACTCAGCTGAACCTGAAAAACATTCACTGTAATTCTGGTTTATTCCCCAAAACATGAATAACAACAACGAGTAAATACCGAACACACTTCAGTCTGGTCTTACTGGGTCGCTCTGATCCTACGGAAGTGGTCCAGATGATCTGGGGGTCCGTCCCGTTACGCTGAAGAATGTTTGCGTTCAGGCTCAAAGGCCAAAGAGCTGAGCCAGACTCCCGCCGGATTTTCAAACGAGTCCTGCTCCGGGTTTGTGTTTCTGCTCCTGGATTAAATCTTGCAGCCGCTCAGACTCATCATTCCTCCTCAGCTGCGCTCCGGTCTACCTTCATCCTCGTAAATAACCATTTCAGACCCTTAAGCAACGCGTGATTCATATTTGATCGCCGTAAATAACGGTGTGCGCGCGGTGTGCGCGCCGCACAGACCGGATTTATAGCCCGGACCAGCGGACTGCTTTCCCCCAAAGAGTCCGAGAGTCCCCGGCTGTGATCAGTGTGCAGAAACCTGAAGACTTACTGACTTTGGTGAAGGTCAGCAGGAAGTCAGATGTCTGGACTCAGTGCAGTGAGTCTGCAGGAGTCTCCTCATTAGAGCAGGATCCCTCAAACACAGACCAGCAGAGAGCTCACTGAGCTCCGGTCGGAGCCGTGCTCCCTCCTGGCAGTCTGACCGCGGACTGAAGGCGCCTTTCACCCGGCCGACAGGAAGGCTGCAGCAGCTTCAGGCGCGTTTACGGTCCGCACCACCACAGGCCATATATCAGGCCTATAAAAGGGGAGCAGCCGCCCTCATGTAGGATTTTATTATGGTATTAAACGGACCCAAAAAAAAGTGGTTGAAGTAGTTTTAGCTGTAAAGACAAGGGGCAGAACCGCGCAGGGCCGCTTTAATGACGCTCGTTAACAAAAATGACTGTTAATCTGCCAATAACAGCGCGAGCACATCCACAAGCTGCTGAATAATTCAAGTCAAAGGTGTGACGTTTTCTGTCTGTCTCATTTCAGACACAAAATATCTGCTCTGTGAAGTGTGGGGCTCAAACTAATCGTGTTTCAATGCAGACTGATTTAAGTCATCACTTTCGCCCCATTCAGCACGAGAGGACGTGCTTCTAGCGCGCTTCACACTGGATTGCACGCGCATCTATTTTGATTAGCTCGGGAACAAATAAATAAATAACATAAAAAATAATGGCGCCGCTTATTTGTCAGCCATTGTCTCCGCTCTACATTTCATGCACACCGGCCAGACGAAACACTCCGCAGATATACGGACGAACTGTTCGTTTTGCATATTGCATATAAACAAGACAATTTATTCAGAGGGGAGGGGAGGGGGGGGCTATGGGGAAGAGGGGTGGGGGGGGGGGTTGATTTACGCTCCATTGACGCTTTATCAGGCTCGAAGAAGAAAAAGTCCGGCCAATCAGTTTGCTCCTCGCGCACAGGGCTGAAGGCTGTAGCACTTTGTTTCTGTGTAGTGAGCAAGTTGTTTGGAAGAAGAGGGAGAGAGAGAGAGAGAGGAAGGGTGGGGGCGAGCGAGCAGAGGACAGAAGAGAGAAAGAGAAAAGAGAGAGAGAGGGGGAAAGAGAAAATCTCGTCATGTCTCTCTTCTTCTGCTTCTTCGTGTCCGTTTAGTGATCTCGCGGCGCTGCGCAGATAATGTCCGAGAATGTCCATTTCTGGGACTTTGAGCAACTACTACGTGGACTCCATCATAAGTCACGAGAGCGATGAACTCTCAGCCCCGGCTCGCTTTCCCGGTGTGCAGTACTCCGGCTCGAGCTCCGCCGCGTTGGCGGCAGGGAGGCAGCCCGGCGGAGCTGCGCACGCGGAGCATCCCCATCCCGAGTCGTACCCGTCCTGCAGCTTCCAGCCGAAGCCCCCGGTCTTCTCCTCGTCCTGGAGCCCGTTCAGTCCGCACCACGGGGCCAGCGGCCTCCCGGCTGTTTACCACCCGTACATCCCGGCGCAGCACGTGCCCGCCGCGGACACTCGGTACCTCCGCTCGTGGCTGGACTGCGCGCCGCGCGGCTCCGAGTCTGTCCCGGGTCAGTCGGGGCAGGTCAAGCTGGAGCCGCAGCTCGCGCATCTCGGCACAGAGATCCCTCCTAAACTCAGTGGACAGCTCCAGCACGAGACCACCACGTACATCCTGGAGTCGACGTCCACGGCGGCGCGCGAGCTGAACCACCATCCGTCCGCCACCCCGGGAGCAGGGTTCGAGGAAAATAAGGACATTTGTGAGGGGAGTGAGGACAAAGATGGCCTGGATCAAAGTAAGTTATTAAAACAGGAAATAGCACGCGGGAGAGATTGTAAACTCTTTTAATGCCGCCATAAAAACAGAACAAAGAGCACGAGAGCCAAACTGCTCCCACCGTCTGCTCGAACTTTATTTACCCCCGGGTCATCAGCTCCGGTATAGGACCATGTAACCGGGACAACACCAACAAAAGAAAACACATTAACTTATTTTATTAAACCAACAGCTGCGTAAAGATAGTTTTCTGATGAGGTGGAAAAATCACAACTTAAAAAACTTTGATTTTTAATAATTGTCACAATCAGCACCATCACAAAGAAAACACTGAACATGAAGGGATTAAAACATTTATGTTTTATTTTTAATGGGACGGTGCTGCTGCTGGATGCTTCTCTTCCTGCATCCTCATGACAGGTTGAAGAAAAACCAGAAGGAGCAGTTTGTAAATTATAGTTCTGTTGTTTATTAACCGGTGTTTGTTCTCTTGGAAACATATTTAAATTAAAGATGAATGGCTAAAACACAGTGTGATGGTCTGGGTCAGAGCTCAGACAGAAAAAGAAGAGCTTCATGAAAAACTCCTCCTCCGTAAATGTCAATAAGGGAACTGTAACTGAAGCGTTGGTCACTGCTTAATTGTTTTAATTGCACGAGCATGCGCACTTCTGTCCTGTTTGGGAAAGACCCAGGGGTTTAGTTTATGATTTTTCTTTTCTCGTTTTGTTACTGTGGATATTTTAAAGGTCTGAGGGTCAGCACTGTGACCGGGTCTGCCCTCCATTAGAGCAGTGTGTAACATCCCGGCGCGAGGTCAGGTATAACTGAAGCAAACTGATAGAAAGTCTATAAAAACTCATCCCCTATCTCCAGTGCAGGCTCGCGAGCTGCAGCCTACTGGTGTATACTGGGTGAACTGGGTGATTGTAACCTGACACAGTGGAGCCACACTTTCCATAATCTGTTTAATCTTTGAGTTTAATTTCTGCGTCATCTACTCTCCATCATTTCCCCATACAGAGACACATGTTTCTGTTCCCTCCCTCCCATCACTCTCAGGTGTAAACAGAATCATGGGGATATATCGTCCTGTATTGATCACTCCCCTCCATCACTATGACACCTCTGTCAGTCCATCAGCCCGTCTGCTGTTCAAAATCATAAACATCATAAAGGAGTGAGGCCGTCCATCACCGAGCGGCTGAGAGAGCGCGGAGGCCTCATAACTCAGTGTGCAGAGGGGGGAATCAGTCCGCTGGACGGGGCTCAATACACTCACATGAGCAACAATAGATAACCGATAATCTCTCCGAGCATTGTTTGAGTTTTGATCCGGAGGACTGAGCGCGGGAAGGGATTCATATGCACGTCTTCTGTGCGTAGTCTTTCTTATTGATGCTTTATGAGACATTTCTGAATTAAAGATACCTGTAGGATGTTTGTAGAGCACGAGCAACTTGTGTCGTTATTCATAAAGTTAAGATGGAGTTAAATGACACCTAACTGTGTGATCCATCTGATGATATCACTCCGCAAATAGTAACCTGCAGCCAGAGTGCAAAATGTTAAATAGTTCCCTCTCCTAATTAAGGAACGTGTGATATTTTTTATTTTTTTTTTGGGGGGGGGGGGTTAGGTTCAGGGACTCTTTTTTTATGTCGCTTGTTTCTAAAATGTGTATAAAAATACAAAATGATAGGATACTTGTTCAGATGTTGTTGCAGTCTGTCAAAGCGCGAGCAGCTGCTGTTTCCATTCCTCGCCCTGTAATAATAATATTCTGTGTCAAGTAATCGCAATCATGTTGATAAAGAGGCGCGTGGAGGGTTTGTCCAGCCGCACGCGGGTTTCTTCTGTTTTTCTATCATCATCACAACAACAACACTGAATCCACCACGAGCTGCGCAGTCAAAGCTCCGCGCGCAACTCTTCTGTGGAGGGTTGAGATTTATTTTGGGTGGAAAAGAGATTTTTTTTTTTTTTTTTTAAATCATGCATTTAAATTTTTACATTTTTACATTTCCTAATTTGGGGTTGAAGGAGAACGTGTTTCTCTCTGTCTGATGCATGCACGCGCAATCCTTTTTCACGTGCACGCGTGTTGGCCTTTTTCCATGGAAGAAATACAAATAGGAGAAACACACACACACACACTCTCTCACTTTACTGCTGTACACACACTCTGCCACCTTATTACAGCATGTGAGCTGGTAACGGGCTGGATGGAGCCCAGCAGCCTGAGTTATGAGCCCTCAGAATGGCTGTGTGGCCCGGTGTGTCCCGGTGCTGTCAGTGATGAAGGCTCCTCTCTTCTTCTTCTCTCACCGGTTTCAGAGCGTCAGCACTTTCTCCCTCGTGCTCTGCTGTTTGTGTGTGTTGCAGTGTTTCTTTGTGGCAGGTAGTGGGAGCTGCAGCCACCAGCAAGTGTTTCTATTGTTCACATGGCGGCCATTTTGAACACTGGCTGCAAAAAAAAAAAAAATCTACATTTTTCTCCAGGCAGTCTGAATGCACACAGACAGCTGAGTGGTCCCTAAATCTGAAAACAACGCCCAAAGAGAGAAGGCTGGATTTAGATGGCGGGTTGGTTTTTTTGTGTAACCACAGACTCTTTTAAACTTCTCTGATGTGAAAGTAAGAGTTTTACCTCCGTCCTTCAGGGCTGGAAACATCAACACAGAAGCTTTGGAAGCTGGTTTTAGTCGGCTGTGTTTGGATCGGTCACAACCTGCTGAATAGGTTCCTCTTTGACTTAACAAGTGACATCTCTGTTTCCTGACACGACTACAGCAGCTGCAGCCTGAAGTCTCTCTTCAGGTTGATCATTTACATAAGTAAGCCCTACGCTGACTTTATCTTTTTGTTGCCTTTCAAGACATAACTTGACGTTGTGTGGATTAGTCCTGCTCTCGTTCTTAATGAAACCTCAGCTCATTCATTGGAAGCTAACTCTGCATAAAGATATGGAACAGCTAGCATGGCCTTGTGCTCCACGTGCTGCACCCTCTAATCTACACTTACTCTGCAGTAAAACAGTGTGGAAACTTGTTTCTGTAACTCACTGTGTCCTCACATCTTTCTGTTCATGCACAGACAGTCCAGCGTCCCTGAGGTGTAACTGAAACAGAGGCGGCAGTATTTACTGAAGTCGGACCATGACAGAAATGATAGTGCGCTCAAAATGTGAGCTGTGATGTAACTAATTTTTAAGGGGGATCGTGCAGTCATCCTCCAACAGAAGGCCCGTTATAATCCTGACATTACATTTTTTAGTTTGAACCTTGTAGGCATGTTGGATCCTCGTGTGTGCGCTCTCACCCTGGAGGGGAACAGATGACCTGCTAACCATTGCTGTTTGAGTCAGAAACTTTAACTTCCTCTGGTCCTTTACGTCACTGATAGAGAGCTGTCCCTCCAATCACTGGACATGTTTTGTTGCTGTAGCTTAGCTTCTTCTAGCTAACTGCATCCATTAAACACTCTTCAGACCTCTGAGTTTCTGCATCCAGAATGACGAGGAGAGGATTAGAGTGCAACATTCCTGCATGAATGAAAAGGGCCCGTTGTTGTCTGTGTGGCATGTTTTTCACACTTTATCATTTCTCTAAGTCATATTTAGTTGTCTGGTTCATACATAATGTGATATATTAGTGTCTGAACTCTTCAAAGAGCTGTCGCTCTGTGTGCTAACTGTTACAGCATGCTGGCATTCCTGCAAGTTTTTTGCAAATTTTTCATAAAAGGGAAGAATTCTGTGCAGATAGTCGCTCTGTCACAAGTTTTTCATGCTCATAGGTTGATGGCCTTTATGTGCTGCCAAAAAAGAGTGAAACGTGTCCATCAGAGTTTATTTTCATATTCACAGCTGTAGTCCCACTTCCACATCACAATGAGGACACTGTGGAGGTTGATATTCTGAGATCAGCAGCGTGACTCTGAGGCTGGACTCTTTAAATCCACTCGTTTCTGCAGAAAAGTCTGAGTGAGAATCTGAGAAATGATTAATGTCTGCAGCTTGGCACAGAACAGACGGGCAAAACCTGGGCGTCTCCCCCCCCCTCAGGTAGACAAAATGGCCGCTGTGTGAATAGCATCAGTGGAATTTTACCTTTTTTTAAAAAACCTCACATCCAGTCGAAGCTACAGATTCTCTTTGTGTTAGAGGAGCTGGGCGACCATCCAGAATAAACTACAAGATTACACTTCAGTCTTTGTGCTGCTGCCGGCCCGGCCTGAAAGTTATTACCCCTGAAGTTTATTAAGTTATAACGGCGGGTGAACAACCCCATTAATTGGAGGGCTGCTGTTGGTGGCTGGGTGAGATGGGGGTGTAAGGGGCCGGGTGGGTGGGGGAGATAAAATACGACTGCGGGAAATGTAATAACGTGCCTTTGGGATATATGAGAGGTCAATTTCTGGAACTATTAGGGTGAAATTGCAAAGGGAGGGAGAAAGAGATGGGATGTGATATTAGTCTTGTAGCCTTTTTGGTCTCTGTTTCCATGCAAGCAGCATTCATCACAGCGAGCGTGTGCGCACACACACACACACTGGCCTGCAGGGCTGGAGCTTTACGGGAATATCAATCTCTTTGTCCATGTTGTTCCTGTCTGTGTCACATCAGAGCCTCTCACTGCTCCTGCCGAGACGAGTCGCCTAAAGAGAAAAAAACTCCAATTTAAGACGACACAAGCTTTAAAGCCGCCGTGAACACAGATCCACAAACGCCTTCAGTCTATGTCATTTAGAGTATTTTCTGCATTAGGAGTCGTAAGTATGCAGAAATCAACACTGAGAGCTTTTACCATTTAGTGTCTTAAAAAGAGTTTCAGCATCACAGTCTGCAGTTCTCTTAGCTGTGCCTTTGTTATGTGAGTGCGTTCTGGATGCCAAAATCGGAAGAATTTAAAATGACGTTTTTGTCGGGTTGCAGGGGCGGTCTTTCCCATGAGTGGGGCTTGGTGACCCCCTAACCCAGAAAGATGAAATGTGAAGTTGGCCCCTGTAGGGCCACATACAGGTAACAATGTGAACAACAAATACAAGGTGAAACCTCATTTGTTCATTTATCAACAATGACCTCTGCAGACCCGGGTGCAGTACCACCAGGGACCACCAGGGGGCTGAGACCCTCGCTGTTAGACAGCCTGGGTTTTCTAGAAGTTCTCTTTCTCTCAGATTTTTATGGAAGCTTAAACATGCTCTCAGCTTTGATATCATATTTGTATTCACACATTTTCCAGTCAAATATCCAGAACCTATACCCCCCCCCCCCACTACCCTCCTTACTGTCTCTCCACCCTTAAAGGGGAAAAAAAAAAAGGTCCATCCTGTCCACCAGCACCCCCCTGACACCTCCCCTCCTCCGGTTTGTCATCCCGTGTGACAGGCTCGGTCGTGGCTCAGCTCCGAGGGTAATGGATGGTCCTGGAGGTGATTATACACCCGGGGAATGCAAAGCACCCACTTTACCGTGTGACAAAAGCCCCTTACACACACCCCGCCCCGTCCCCCCCACCCTCCAGCCTGTCCTCGTCTCTTTACCAGGCATTATTTTGCTCTGAGATGAAATCGATCGTCTACATGCTGGCCATGTTGGAGGAAATTGATTCCAGAGGGTATTAATGACGTATTTACTGATGATGGCTGCTAACCAACTGGGCTGGTGGGAATGTCGGGGGGGGGTCTTATCCACACAGGGACAGAGGCTGATGCTTTGTGCATCATCATTGGCCATCTTGGCTCTGATTTCTGGTCCTGAATACAAAGTGTCCAAACTAAACAGAAACAGATTTGATCAACACTCTCGTCCTGCAGAGTTGTGATCATGTGGACACTGTTAACACAATATCAGTCAATTGTTTCCTTGTTTCTCTTCTTCCATTGCGACAAATGTGACGTGTGTTTTGGTGTCTGTGCTGAGCTCTCTGTTGTGTGTAAACGCACTGAGCGTCCTGCAGGCGGTCGGATCTGGCATAAATCTGTGAGATGAATGAGACTACAGTTCTAGTTTTTATATCTGCTGCACAGAAATCTGTTTAGTTATTGCTTGTTTGACATCCTGTGGTGATTCTTGTTTTTCTATTAATGAAGCAGTCTCTTTTTATTGTCGGTCTTTGAAACCTGGAACAGATGCATGGCACTGGAGGCTCATGCACTGATCTTAAAATGATCAGGTTTAGCGTCTTGTTTGGGATGATGGCTCTCACTGATCTCCAAAAGTATAACATTTAATGTAAAACCTGAGGAAGCCCTGAGCGGACATGCAGCCAGACATTTTGCTTTTTCTCATTTTCTCTGTGATGAGGAGTCGATGTCGGCTGTTTTTCTGGAGATCTTGAATCGTTCATCTTGTTTTCAGCGCTGGTTTTTCCACGCTCAATAAATAATTCATCCACATCTCGAGAAACCCGCTGAAATGAAGTCGCTATTGCAGGAAAAAATAAACGTAAATAAGGAGATAGATGAGTCGAGATCTTACGGAAACGTGTGCAGGTTTACTCGTATTTGCTGAAAAATATAGTCACATAAGATGTCTGGATGTTTGTCCTCTTTGGGCTTCTGTAGGATGCAAGATGGAAGAAAAATAGAAAGCACTAAATCACAAACATGAGGTTTCAAATGTTCTTTTCAAGTAAAAAAAAAAGACTTTTCAAATCAAGGTAAACCCTGCTTTTTTACATCACAATTTGACCACTAACTTTGCGTCTCGTCTTTTTCCCAAACTGAAAGTATTTCTGTTTGTTTTGAATCCAGTTTCTGATTTCTTAAGTCGATATTCCTCTCGCTACACAAACTGTACGCCTGATTAAAAACCTTCAGAAGATTCTAATTAAACATTTTTATCAGTCATGAGCATCATCTGTAGCTCTGCAAGTCGCCTGATGGTCACATCAGTAACATATTAGCAGTAAAATCGAAGACAAACGACGACGCCTTCACCAAACCAGCGTCCGTGTGGGGAAGAATCCGGCTCCTCGGGGAGGGACACACATATCCTAATTCTCCGTCCCGCCTGTATGGCGTCAACGCTCAGACTTTCCCCCCATGACTTGAGAATGATAAGATCATCCCTTCTGACATCTCAGGCCTGAAGACTGACGCTGAGTCTGACCAAAAAAAACTTGTTATGACCTCCTGCCCTGCAGACCCCAACACATAAATCAACACTTTTTTTTTATTTTTTAAAGCATCAGCAAGGATTTATTTTTGCCCCAAAACTTAAGGTTTCCAAATCCACCCTTGTGGTCAGACTACATGTTCCCTGTGTTTCATCGAGTCTACATCCAAACCATCAGGAAGGATCTAAAAGAGCACAAACAAGCAGTGAAACTTTATTAGTTTTCACCTTTAAATCCAAATTTTAATTCCCCGCTGAAGCCACATTTGGGTTTTGCACTAAACTTGGAATCTCTCTGAGGTGGTGTCTCAGCTTTTAAAGGACAAAGGTCCAGTTTGGCCTCTCCTTCTTCTGCACATATCTGTCTCCATATTTTGAGACATATTTGATTTTTCTTTCAGCTGTTCAGATTAAAAATCAACCACGCTGCATGTCCAGTTTAGAAGCTTTGTTATTCCTGCAGCTCTCTCTGCAGACACATTTTGATTTTGCACTAAACTGATGTCTGAGATGGTTTCTGATGAAATGCAGTGAAGAAAGAAGTTCCTGTACTGTCTTCTCTCCTGCACAGTTTCACATTTTTACTCCACCTTTAGTAGCACATTTAGTCTGTTTGATTTAAATACCTTTTAGACATTTTAAACCTTCAGCCACATCCTCTTTCCTTTCTCCCAGCTCCATACTGACTCCTTTTTCTGCAATCCTTTTGCGTGTCATTCTGACGCCAGTGGTTGGGTTTTGTTGCCCGTGATGAAATTGTGGAAATTGTTAGGAGCCGTGTGTGTCTGTAAGAGACGTCGAGTGGAGTAACACAACGTCAGTATTTGACGCCTTTGGGAAAGAGGAAGGGATGGAAATGTTCTTTTTCTGGTTTCCCAGACTCTTCAGAGGAAGACACTTGTTGGTTTGAGTTTTCACTGAGTGGAGGAAGAGTCTGAACAAACCACAGGAAGGATTTCATGCTGACTGATTTTATTTGGAAGATTTCAAAGTTGAAGTGAAGCATGCAAAACCACCGGAAATTCAGCTGAAGTGATTAAAAACGTTATATTTTATTTTAAAAACGGTGGGAAAGTAAAGTCAGAGAGACACGTGCTCCGTGCTGGAGTTGTCTCGCGGTGAGTCGCAGTGAGCGACCTCGTAGTTTGGATGCTTTGGTGCTTTGCTGAGTGGAAGAGGAGATAATTTTCAGCCCTAAACCAGACCCATGTGTCCCGAACAAGAGCTCTGCGCTAATTACACCGACGTGAGAGCTATAAAGGGGAGTCAGGGTGGCCTGGAAAAAAACAAGGGGGAGAAAAAAATACGTGCAGGGAGGAAAAAATGTAGACCGTAACTCATAATCTTCTCTCCGCAGAGAATGAAGAGAAACACAATTAAGGAGCGTCTCTACTTTTCTACAACAACGTTTTGATTTACTGTTAAAAAAAAGAAATCTTAAAAATAAAAGACCGAGGCTTCTATAATTAATTTCTTCATGCTTTGGAGGAAGTTTCACATCATTAAAATTCGTTCATCTTCACCGTTGATGATGAACTCACACACGGAAACCTGATTTTTGCTCCATTTCTTTATTTGATTATGAAAATCTAAAAGTTAACGGCACTATGACGTGTTTCCAAAAATGGCGTCAGAAACTTTTATTGCGTAAAAAAAAAAAAAAAACTTGAAGCCATGTCAGAGTAATTAAAGGAAGAACAGGAGAAATGTTTCCCTCGAACCCCATGAGGGCCGTAAATCTCTCTCCGTTTATTAATTTAGGAACCATCAGGAGACGCTGGTGACGCTGAGCCGAGCTGCATGTGCCATCATTCTCGCGCGCGAGCACAAAGTAAGGCACTATTAGGCCTGTAAAACATCCTCTGTGATGTGTTCACTGTCATCACAAGAGGGGGAAATTTCGGCTCCTGTTTATGGTACCAAATGTAATTTAGGTCCTACTCGTTTCTGATTGCCTTTTATTTCCTTTTTCCTCGCATCTTGTTGTATCCCTCCGCTGAAGGTCACCTTTCAGAAACAAGTCCTCTCTAACAGAAAGTAACTCAGACTGTGAACATCAGCAGAGCATTTATGAAAGAATTGTTTCTTTATTCGTTTTATCTAATTGTGAATTTAATTTGGGCACTTCTTCAGAATGAGAGAAACTGAACCAATGAGAAAGTAGAGCTTTACCTTTTTTCCCTCCATCTTTCTCTGTAACTCCGCGCGCACTGAGGTCTATATTTATTTCTTCTGCATGAACCTTGATGTTTGGTGCAGCAGCAGCTCGTCATATTTGCGCCCCGTTCTGTCTCCATAAAACTGTTTTACGCACCAAATTGACAGTTACATCCGGGTGATTTTACGCACGAGGAGGTCCACTGTTACTTTTAAAATGTTATAAAACTCACGTGCTTTTATTGTCATCATCCTTAACTGGCTTCCTTTCCTTCTCTCCTTTCCTTCTCTCCTTTCTCCTCCAGCTGACCCCTCGGCCAACTGGCTGCACGCGCGCTCCTCCCGGAAGAAGCGCTGTCCGTACACCAAGTACCAGACGCTCGAGCTCGAGAAGGAGTTCCTGTTCAACATGTACCTCACGCGGGACCGGCGGCACGAGGTGGCGCGCGCGCTCAACCTGACGGAGCGGCAGGTGAAGATCTGGTTCCAGAACCGGAGGATGAAGATGAAGAAACAGAGCAAGGACCAACCCAAGGACTAAGCGGGGACTCTCGGACCCACGCACGAGCGGCACATACGCCTGGTTTTGACGCACGTGCACGCACGCTCACAACATGTATCCTGTAACGTTTCTTAAACACAAAATGGCCTTCCTGCAAACACGCACACAGACAACCTTTCCAATTAGTTTAAACCTCCAGGCCCCATCACACCTGATCGATACACCTGATCAGCGGCTTCATTGATCTAATGAAGGTCGCACGCGCTCCCTGGGAGGCCTGGACTCTTGAACAATTTTCGTTTTCAGTCGTGGTGGATGATGGGTAAAAAGTCACAGACCTACAGTGATTCTTCCTGGAACTTTTTTCCTGACAATGTGTGGGACCGCTTCTAAAGCTGCGGACTGGACTGAGTGTTTGGTGACGTCATGCGTCTTTATTTCACGCTGTTTTTAATTAGTTTGATCTGTAATGTAAAGGAAGAGAGTATCACACCGCCTCGTGCTAGAGAGAGAGGGAGAGAGATGTTTTCTTCTTTATCAAGCACTACTTTTCCTCTTATTGGTTATTTATTGTTCCGTATCTGACACCGGAGGCGTGCGAAGGTGCTGAAATCGTGGTTTCACGTGGCCATTAATAAACACCAGGAGCGGAGGAGGATAGAACACGAACACCTCCTATACCGGCAGGGTTTGATTAGAAAGCGCCTGATGTTCGGCGTTGATACAAGCAGCAAGCCGCCGTTTGTTTCCAGGTTGTCGGTCTAAGTAATGAGCAGATACCGGGGGGGGGGAGGAGGTGGAGTGATGGGATGGTGAGGGTGTTAACCCGACTCAGCAACCGAGAGGCTCCGATTAGGCTGCTGTCGATACGGTGGATCCCGCCCTCCGGATGCTTTATCTGCTGCAGCTCCTCTCGTGCTCGGCTTCTCTCGGCTGTCGATCGTCGCACGAGCCCGGAGTCAGCAGAGTTTATTGTCTCCAAGAAACACACAAAATAATCATCATCAAGCACACACATCAAGACTTTGTGTGTGAATGCTCGTCAGATTTAGGGGAGACTGGGGGCGGTTGCAACATTTCTCTCACTGTTTAGATTAGGAAATAAAAACACATTTATTCTCATTATTAAACTAAAACACCTCCGATAATTATTACTTACTAATAATTATTTTGAATAAATGCATAAAAGTGAACAACATACATTTAAATCAGAAATTAGATTTTTTAGGTTTTCACAGAGAACATCTACCGACACTTATCAGGGACCTTACAAGGTTTTAAAAAGTTCTCCTTATTGTCTCAAAACACAATAAAAAAAGTGCATTATTTTAAAAATTTAATATTTTATAATTTATTCATGAATTAGATAATACCACATTTTAAAATTTGATATAACCCTAGAATGTTTAAAGTTTGGGATTTTTGAAAATAGAAAATTATTTTTCCTAAATTCTTTCTACAGATTAAAAAAAACAGTTTAATGTAATTTATATTTTATTTAGTTGTAAAGGAAAATGTAGAAACTAATTTCAATGTAGTGATTTGAACATAAAGGCTTTTTTTTCAGACTGAATGACTCTCTCTCTCTTGTTGACACAGTCCCCGGTCTCCCCTACTTCAGGAGATAAAGACTCAGACAGCTTTCCACCCTCCAACAGATTTAAAGACCGGCTACACACAAACGTCTTAATTAGAACAAAATCTTTCATGGCTGCAGAAGAATTTTCAGCAAAACGTCAGAATCTAGTCCGCACAAAGTCCGCGTGGTCCTCAACATCCTTCTTATCCTTCTTCAACGTGATTCTTCCTTTCTCTGGAGGAGAATCATCTCTATTTTTATACAAATCTACAGTTTGTTCTGTAATATCTGCTATGCAAGCACGGGTTCCTCTCTAGTCAGGAAGTATCCACAGGCAGTGTGCGCAAAGAGAGAGAATACAAAAACACGCTCACATGTTGACTGGAAATCTGAATTCCTCGTCGGTGTCCTCCCCCCCTTCCCCTCCCCCCATAAATATGATTCCTATATGTTGTAAAAGAGGTTTTATATAAACAGAGAGGACAGGACGGCCTGCGTGGAAATGCTTTAGCAATAGTGTCGACGTTTAATAGCTCAGAAAATGATGTGGTCCGTTTATGCAGAATTTTATGAGTGTGAGTGTTAAAGTATGAAGAGGCCGTGTTGGACTGTTTCTACGGCGTTATTTGGAGTGTCGGTGTAGTTAAAGGGCGTCCGATGGCAGTTTTATGGACGGATCATAAACTACACACAGGCTTTACAGCGTTTACAACCGTGTGTGTGTGTGAGAGAGAGAGAGAGAGAGAGTGTGTGTGTGTCCGATAAGAAAGAGAGAAAGAGGATGTGTGTGCGCGCATGTGTTGGCCGTCGCGGTTGCAGACCACGAAGGCTGCCTGCACCAACATTGTAAAAACTAAACATTATATATAAATATAGTTTACACACACACACACACACACACACACACACACACACACACACACACACACACACACACACACACACACTGCAGCTCTAATTAACGTGCAGAAATAACGGGTCCACAAACAGCCTCTCTTCTCTTTAACTTTTCTTTCTTGTTTTTTTGTTTTTTTTGTTTTTTTGCAGAGTCTTAAACAGAGAAGCGCGCGCAGCATCACACCCTCCATTCACGAGCACAAATGTTTACATGGTTTGCGCATGCCTCGAGTCTCCAGTCGTTTTGAGACGTGTTGTTTTCGTCGTTTAGCTCTTTGTGTGTTCAATGTGTCGGAGGGGGAATGCTTTCAGAAAAATTAAAAGCAGACTAAATAGACGTTTTTTTTTTTTCTCGATAGGAATATTCCTTATTTATTGTAAATAAAGTGAGTAACCTCGTCTTTCTTATTGGAATATGATGATTCTTGTTTGTCTAATATGGATTTGACTGTATATAGATGATTCTGTTCTCTCCTTTCTGTTTCCTTGTTATTGTGCAGACTGTCTCTTTGTGTTTGATGGTGAACAGTGGTGAGCAGGACTGAAGCTGCAGGGAGGACAGATTTCATTCAAATGTAACAATGTCTCTTTAAAACGATCAGCTTGATTTGAATTATTGACTCTTCCTTCCGCCTTCTTCTCTGTATTTATTCTCCTGACTGAGGGACTTTTGGTTCCTGGAGGTTTTTGTAGTTGGTGAATATGGACAGAGCTCCAGAAGTCTCTCTCCTCTTCAGACAAATGTGACCCATGTGTCCACAGTGGAGGCTTTATTACCGAGCAGGCGGACTCCACAGTCTCTGTGATCCTCTCCTTCATGTCTCCATGTGTCACTTCTTGTGCGTTTTTCTCTTCTCTGTGTTGTTGTCTTCTGTTACTTTGTGCGATGGCACTGCTGATGCTGGATTCATATTAAAGAAGAGTCTTTACACAACGATCGTTTCCCCTTCTTTTTCTCCTCATTGAATAATAACATCTTCAATGTTGCAGGATCATTTCTTTCAGCGTTCTCAAAACTTCAGAGAGCTTTGCAGGACAACTTTGCTTTCCTCTTTTCGACTCCTAGTTTGATTTTCTTTTTGTCTCTGTGGGAAGACACAGAGGCGAGGAGGGGGGGTGAGGCAGCATGTGTTTAAAATATGTGTGTCCTCAGTCCTACACTGCAGCTTAAAGGAGAGGGGCGTCTGTTTGGCTGCAACACCAAAAGACTGTCATAAAGCCATAAACACCCCCTCACAGCACACACACACACACACAAGATGAGTGCATTCATTAGAGGCGTCGTCATCCATCCGTCCATTAGGAGTTGGTGAAGCTGCTGCGGTTCCTGTGTTTGTCTGACAGACACACAGTCTGATGAGGAGGGCGGCAGGAGCTCTGCTTCCTCTCCTGCTCCTCACATGATGGAGGGACAGTTAGAAGTAGGACTGGAGTAGTTTCAAAAAGTATAGACTACAACTTTAAAGTCTCCATTGATTTGTGTCGATGTAAATGATGCTGCAGAACACAAACAGCAGGCTTCATTCTCTGATGCTTAAAGCAGTTAAAATAAGTTTTTATTTGGAGATCACAATTTTGCAGTAGGCCTTATTGCATCACTAAGTCAAAGCCATCTTCCATTTAATAATCCACATGTAGACCCCCCTCCCTCCATCTGCAACCCACCCATCTTAAAGTGATTCTAACTTCCGGCTCAGAAACGCTGCAGAATACTAATGTTCTCATATTTAATATAATGAACTTACAGATATACACTTACATACATTAGAGGATTATATCGATACACATTTATCTCCTTTTTTAGTTTTCCTTCTCGTTCTTTTTTAAGCGGCTCATTTTCTTTCCCAAGGCGTCACATAGTCACGCTTTTTTCACGTCCCTTTGGCGTCATATACTGATTTTCTGGTGCCTGCACGCTGGGCTTTCATCAGACAAAAAGCTGTCATGTCATAATCAAACCCAAAAAGACGCAAAGCGTCCGTGTGTGACGTAAAATGAAACCTTGTGTTACTACAGGCCTATATGTGACGCAGATGGTGGTGGAAAAAAATCCCCATCAGTTTAGGGGGGGCAATAATTTTATGGGAAATTTCTACATGATTAAAAACGTTTTAACAACCCAAGTATGCATCTATAGATTTCATGTCTCTATTTTAAAAACAATGAATTTATAAAGTTCAGAAAACAATCCCAGAAACCTGCTGTGCATGCAGAGAGAAACCATACTGAGGCCGTGACCTCTGACCCTGTTTGCAGGGCTGGTAGAAAAAGCAGACTGAGGGGAAGCTTTCAAAGAAACACCCTGACGTTTAAATTCTGCAACTTCATGTTCAGCGGTGCAACTGTTCAAGTCACAGCGCCACAGACGAAAGGGAGGGGGCAGCATGAGCAGCACTTTCAAAATCTTAATTTTTGATTCATTAAACTCAAAAGTGTATCTGTTGTGAGGACAGATATTATCAGATGATTTTACACCTGATTAGTTCTTCCAGAGTCTTTGCATGCATCATTTATAAAGGAACCTAAGGGTGTGTACAGATGTTCACAAACATCATTAAGATTAAGATTTAAGATTTACTTTATTGATCCCACAAGGGGAAATTCTGCAACACACACATGCACAAACAGGATCCTGTGGACATGCACTAAGGGAGAGATGTCAGAGTGATGGAGCCACCCCTGGCAGGCGCTCCTGAGCTGATGGTGGGTAGGGGGTTTGGTGCCTTGCTCAAGGGAACCTCTGGCAGTGCTCAGGAAGGCCAACTTCCATAAGGCCAACTTCCATATTTTGGTCCTCCGGTTCCCAACCCAAGTCCCTACAGATGGAGCTACTGCCGCCCCCCAAATTACATCTACATTATTCTAAGTTATGGAGCAATCGCTGCCTGTTATCACAATTAGCAAAGCATGCAGGATCAGTTTATGAAATACATGTAGAGGCATTGTGCAAGTTTACAGACAGTGCTTTTAATAAACATGCTGCTTCTAAAAACATGTTGAACTCAGGAGTCACGGCGGTTTAGAAAAACATTTATTATTATTATTTCATCATTTGGTTACAAAACATGTTAGTTTGTTTTATGGGGTTTATAAGTTTGATTCCATAACACTCGTGACTGCAGAACCAATCAGTGCTGCCGAGCTGTTGGGGCGAAGAATTGTGATGGTGAACACATCCTCTCTGATCCTCCCTGCACCGCTGGGCCCAGCAGCCAATGAGGCCTTGGGATTTGAGCAGATTTAGACCTGGGCCCCAACAAAGCCGTCCCATAAACCATCTGTGGACTCGACGGCGGATGATTGTGATTCTTCTCTGAGGTCCTGCAGGGTCGGAGCTTCATTAAATCCAGAAGCCCCTGAACTGTGCTGCAGGCCCCAAGCCGCTGTCCCAGAGAGGGACACCAACCGCAAGCTGCTCCAGCAGACTGTGTGTGTGTGTGTGTGTGTGTGTGTGTGTGTGTAGAGTGGGGTGGAGGGTTCTCTCTGACACATGGCACAGTAAATCTAACCCAACGCAGCGAGCAGGAGCCTCACAGCACAACACACACTCACATCAGGTTCATACAAAGAGGATGAGTTTCAGTTATGGAGGCTGAGAGCGCGCAGGGAGTCCGCGTGGTCTAATCTGTAGAGGAGGAGAAAAGTGAGGAGGAGCTGATATTCTACAAGCAGCCAGAGTGCAAACTTGTTGTAGTTGAAGAAGAAAAGAACACATTTTATACTGAAGCATTGATTTTGCATCATCGCAGAGAGACTTAGTTGTTTCCTGTATTTTCTCTGAGCTCTGTTCCTGCTCATCCCTGTTTTAGTTAATCCAGATTTTATTGATCTCTGTAAACAGATTCTGGACTTGAACCAGAGAGCAAAACAGGGCCGAAAACTACAACCCTGAAACCCATCAGATATCGTCTTACGACCAACATTCAGCTTTTAGTTGATCCCTTTAAACAGACAGCTGAGTATTCAGTTTCAGTGACTCCACAAAGACGGCATAAAAAGGAAGTCTTACCCTAAAACTCTTCATCACATATCTCAACAACTGTTGGATAAGTCGTGTTGTTTAGACTAAAACACTAATGTGGATCTTTGCAGAGTAAAGATTATAGAAAGACCGAACCATCAGTGCAGGAGTTTCACACACAGGACCAGGGTTTGGGTTCCATGGGATCCTAAAAGATGATGTTGATTCATTGTTGGATGTTTTACAATAAACCTGATAAATCCAACTGTCTAACATCCAGGTAGCATGTAGCTAGGTTTACTTCTTATTTTAGCTGTAGGAATTTTATCGAGGATTAGACACCTCTTGTGTCTGGTATCAATTAATGTTACACAAGAGAGGAATGGACTTACCGGCTGTAATGTGGTAGATTTTGATTTACACCCCTAAACAAGGGGGGGCTGTGGCTCAGTGGTAGAGTCAGTCGTCTGTCAACCGGAGTGTCCGGGGTTCGATACCCAGCTCCTGCAGCCACATGTCCGATGTGTAAGCACGAGACACTTAACCCCAAGATGCTCCCTCTGCTTCATCAGCAGCCTCTACCATCAGTGTGTGACTGTGTATGAATGGATAAGTTAATACTGATGGGCTCTACACAGCAGCCTCTACCATCAGTGTATGAATGGATGAATTAATACCGATGACTCTTTACTCTGCGGCCTCTACCATCAGGGTGTGAATGTATATGAATGGATGAGTTAATACTGATGGACTTTTTACACAGCAGCCTCTACCATCAGTGTATGAATGGATGAGTTAATACTGACTCTCTCACAGCAACCTCTACCATCAGTGTGTGAATGTGTATGCATGGAGGAGTTAATACTGATGGACTCTACACAGCAGCCTCTACCATCAGTGTGTGAATGTGTATGAATGGATGAGTTAATACTGATGGACTCTTTACTCAGCAGCCTCTACCATCAGAGTGTGAATGTGTATGAATGGATGAGTTAATACTGATGGACTCTTTACTCAGCAGCCTCTACCATCAGTGTGTGAATGTGTAGGTGTGACCTGTGGTGTAAAAAGCGCTTTGAGTAGTCCAAAGACTAGATAAGAGATATACAAGATGAAGTCCATGTATCATTTATCTTTGCATCCTTAAGTAGCAATATACCTAGCTAATGAAATATTAGCTTGGAAATGATTCCTATAATAGCTAGGAATGCTAACCTCATAATAGCTGCAGCCTACTTCCCAGCCAACAGGTTGGACTGAAGTCAATGCCTTTTCTATGGTAGCACTAAAGTAATTCAATCTGGGAATAACCTCTAAACTACTCTCTGTTTACCATAAACTTGTGCCCTTCATATCACTATCAACATGTAAGCCATGAATTGATTTCATAGCTAACGTAACATTAGCTCTGCATTTAAACCTTTCCTTTTGTTTGACTAGAGAAACATTAGTTGAGAATTTACAAATTCCATAAGCTCATATTTCTCTTGCTAAACAAAAGGGGAACTTATTAATATTAATCGTAACGTGGAGTAGGCTAGGAGAGTGCATTCTTCGATTCCAGCTAACGTGATGTTAGCTTTGAATCTACATGTTTCCCTATGTCTGGCTTTGGAGTAGGCCTAATTCTAGCGAAGAATTTATTTCCACGGTAACATTACGCTAGCCAGGAATTTACACCTTTCCCAATGTACTGCTATCATAACAAAAACAAAAAATTTACTTCTGCAGCTAATGAAATGTCAGCCAGGAATTTACGCCTTTCCACTTCCTGGTCCTGGCAAAAATCTCTTACAGGCTACTATAAACATGTCTGGGGGAAACCAGTGGCACAGGTACTATAATAAAGAATACAAATGCGAGGAGAATAAATAGAAGATACAAATATTTAGAGAATATAACTAGAACGTACTTTACTGACTTTCAAGCTAACATGATGTTAGCTTTGAATTGAGAGATATTTGAGAGACGTG